CTGCACGGCGGGGCAGTGGGGCGGGAGCGCCACCGCCGCCGCCTCCGCCCCGCGCGGGAGGGGAGAGGCCTCGCCCGCCAACCCCGGGGGACGAGAAACGGGTGGAAATCGGGAACGGCAGCGTTCCAGGCACGGGCGAGGAACGAGCAGCGCGGCGCAGCGTCTCGGCTTCGTATGGAAAAGCACTGCGGCAACGGCGGAGCTGCGCGCCGTGCTGGAGGGAGCGGGGGTTCTCGGTCGTGGGGCCGTTGGATGATGAAGGCCCAGAGCGTAGGACACTTCAGAGCCTTTTACGACAAAGCGTAAAATACTATTTGTGACAGTGTAAAATACTGAGAATTCATACAAAGCACAGATTAAAAGCCTACAAGAATTTCAAATTTTAATTCAAACTTTCAAGTTTCTCATGGAAGGAAATCCCATCTCTCCCACTTTGACGCAAAACAAATTAAGGAGATAACCTGATAAAATGTTAACGCTATCGGTGACTCTAGAAAAATAAGATGATCATGTCTTAAAGTTACCATGTCTTGAAATTGTCATGTCTTAAAGGGTACTTCTCTACAGCAAGCAAATTGTTAACAGTTTACAGAAAGGAAAGAAACAATTATCCCATCAGAGCAGCCTATACATTGTTTTAGCACAATTCTTGTTTTGTAGCATTTCAATTTATAAAACTGAGCACACATGCGAGTTATACAATACAGAATGTCAAGAGCCAAACACAGAGCCAGAATCTGCAGGTAGCAGTTAATCATCATCAGCGTGCAACTCAAAGCTGGTAAGGAAGTTTAAAATGAAACTCACGTAATTTTGAAACTCTGATACACACTGACCCAACACTAAAAAAAGACTACGTTTTGATTAGGAGAAAAAAATTCAAACTTTTATTGATGCATTACTAGTTCCAGTGCCCGCCCCCCCCCCCCTCATTTATCAAAAGAACTGAAGTAGTCCAGGAGAATTTCCCAGGATTTGCCACCTACAGATAAGATAGTTGAGGACCCAAAAAGTATCTCAAAAAAGATTAATCTTTTAACTTGCTGGAATGGACTATAGGAAGCTGACAACTTCACTGCCTACAAGCATTCAAATTCCACTAGCTGCCTACATGACAGAATTTGAAAGATGTTGGTGAAAATTCATTCCCTTACAGTCCAAAGATCAAAATATGTACAACTAAGTTAATGAGTACTACTAGTATGAAGCCCTGCTCCTGCCTGAAATCAAATGGAAAATGAGTATTTTAGACACTCAGTATCAAGCTCCTGCTGAACTACAAGTTGAGCTTTGCTATCTATTCCGATTTAAAGGCCAAGGAAATGAAAAGGCCTTTTCGATAGAAAGACTACATTAAACCAGAAGCCTTGCCTTAGCTGCAGCAATCTCTAGGATTCAAAAGCCAGTGCGCTAAGCTACTGCCAAACATAAATATACCTAACTGACTTCAAGCTAACCCTTGCTTGCATCATTTCTGAATGGCACTCGAGCAACAAAGTTTCCTAGGCAACCCCAAAAGAAGTCATCCATTTTGCACAATCCTACAGTGAACAGCTTCAACATTTACTGTCTGTTCTGACTTGGCCGACTCTGATTGTGTAGTTCACAGGTATCAAAAAAAACAAGCTGCAGTTGAGAAGAAGACAGGCACAATTCAATTTTTGATTAACAGATTTTTTCATCCACTTGTTTTCAATTCTTATTTTAAACATTCACACAATAATACATTTTCTATTTCAAATGGTAAAGATGACATCACACTTGTGCAAACACTAAACAAAGCATATTGAGGCACAAAGAAGCCAGAAGGGATTCAAGTAACAGTCAGAAAGTAATTTGGAAGATGCATTTTTTCTAAATCAGAGAGGTCTTTTACACTATATTAAAAATAAACCAATTTTCCCATCCACACAAAGTAAACAGCTGAATTGCCTATATATATACATACCAAGTAATGAGATACCAGTTTCATTTTTTTGGGTAATTTTTCATGAAAGATGACAATTTTCTATAAAAACTAGTCCTTGAATGCGTGAAATCTATGTACCTACCAGATAAGTAACTATTATTTAAGAGAAATTCATTTTTTTAAAAAATAAAAATATATAAGTTTCTCTATACTACCCAATGGCAGCTAAAATATAATGATAATTTTACAGTGAACTGGTCATACAAAGAAAAATATTTTCAACTGTTTCTCTATAGATAATTTCAATTCAAAACAACAAACCCAAAATATTTCATATTTTAAATGAACCGGTCAGTAGGTTAAGAAAGAAAAATAGTGTTAGAACACTGCAGACACTCCTGCTGAGATCACACTGAATAATTAGAACTTTTGGTCTTTGTTACAAATGCTGTAAAAGTGTTTCTATGAAAAAAGCAATGTCCCCCCATCCCCAAGAAATTAAAACAGTAAGCCAAAAAAAAAAAAAAAAGAAAAGAAAAAGAAAGTGTTTTAAGAGGCATTTCTTTTAGCTTGCATGATATAGCCTTTGGACTTGATAATTCCTCTGCTTTTAACAATGACTGAATACCGGAGAAGCCATAAAGGAATCCACTCGTGTGCTTTCGTGCTCTGGATGCTTTCCTGAAGAACTTCTTGGAAACTTGCTTCACAAAGTAATTCTGAAGTTAAAAAGGGATATTCATGCTTTAAATAATGTCATGTAAACAGCTGCAAAAAGCAACACTTCGTAAGAGAAGCCTTTTTCTACAGTCAAAAATCTTAAGTAGTGCCAGTTACACCACAGATCTACTCTTCCGGAATGCACGTAGGGTAAAAGCAGCTGAATATCGCAGAAGAAATCTTCAGGACACTTTTTTTGCAACATTGAGTATCTCCCACAAAAGTAATTAACTGAGATTTCTACAGTATCAAATGGAACTGATCAGCAGAGCCATTAGCAGGAAAAAATGAAAATTAAATTTGAGAAGCTAGCTAGACAAGCCAGAGGTGTCTAAAGCATAAGGCTGAAATCAGCAAAGTACTGAGCGTTCTCAGTTACCTCTGCAGTCACTGGAAGCTCAACATTTATAGCATCTCCCATAACTGGGCTCGTAATAACCACAAGCCCAGAAAGCATTAAGACGCATTAAGAAAAATGGGCTTAAATGCCACAAAGCAGAAAAGGAAGGCAAGTACAAATCCTCCTCGTTTCCTCTGGAAAGTCTGTCAAGGGAACAATCTCTTTGATGAAGAGTGTTCCCAAAAGACAGTCTCAATACTCGTCAGCTGACCATTACAGAAAAGTTAAGCTTAGCAAACAATGCATAAGGGAATTGCCACTTGCTTTGTTTTCTGTCCAAATCCTCTTCTCCTTCATTTCATTAGTCCCGATAGAGAGTATTTATCAAATTGCAAGTTGCACTTTGGACTTCACAGGACATGGAAATTGTCAGATTGAATGGCAATTCATCTGGTATGCTGCCAGAGCAGTGCTGATACATGCTCAAGCACTGATGAAATTCTTTAGTTTTAACAGTGCTACTATAAAGCATGTACTTCATAAATAGCATTTCATACACTTTATTTCTTTGGGGGTGGGAAGAAAGGAGAAGGAAGGAAAAGTATGATCATTATGAACAGTTGGTCATAAGGAAGAATGTAGGGAAGGCATGAACTAAATATTGTTTAAAGACTTCTCGCTTACAATTCCAGCAAGATATTTAAGGCATAATTATAGTGAAGATTAGATGGTGTTCGAGAGAAACTAATATCCCAGAATATTCTAGGGAGCTGGTAACTCTAAAGTCTAAAGTTCTAGAGTCTAAAGGAAAGCCTCCAAGCCCTTCAATCAATTAGTAAATGAATCACTGCACAAAACAAGTAAAGAATTTACACCAACTCTTTTTGTAATAATGTTATTTTAAGAAGTTGCTACTTTTAAAGAATCCTGCTTAAAGCGTAGTAATTTTACACGTCTAACATTACCAAACTACTCAAAAATCAACTGACCACCAACATTTCTATGCAAGCTATTTCACAGACAAGTTCTGGGCAAGTGGATTTTCATTTGTCATTTACTGACCTTCAGTGATACAACTGTCATTTCATTCTATGTTTTGTGGAAATAATCTTGAACCAAAAGCAAGAATTTAATAGACATATTTTATAGAGGAGAAACTTTTAGAATTCTTTGTTTGGGATTCAAATGTAACAAACTTTGAAGTTCAGAGAAAGATTATTCCCAATTGTGTACTGAATAAATGCATTTAGAAGTCTTCTGTTAACTTCTCTGGCAAAGCCTTACCTTTTGGGTCATTGTGAGTTAACAGCTGTATGTCAAACTGTTTTGCAAATGCTGTGAGATCAGGTGGCATCACACAACAGGAAGCTAGGTTCACCTGATTACTACTTGGTTTTACCTGAAAGTAACAGAATACTTTTGTAAGAAAAAAAAAAATTAATGTTGTTTCCCCCATGCCCTCTATTATTACCACAGAAATTTTGCTTTGAACAATTTGCCTTTGACCATTGTTTTGAGGTCTGAACAAGGCTAATTAATTCTGCATGATGCTGAACGGGCAACTCCTACATCTGCAATTTCCTGCAGCACAGAGCCCAAAACAAGAATAGTATCTAACTCCAGGTGCTGCCACAGCAAGATGAGTACTAACCCATTCTGGCTTCCTGCCTGCTGTGCTCCCTAAACAGCAGCAGGTTTTTCCCACCCCCTTCTCTAGTATAAACTTTATAGGGGCCTTAGTTTGAAAAAGACTTCAAATAAAAAAATCCAAATAAATTTTCGTTAAGGATATATAATTTGCAGTCTTCCGTATCTTCAGGTAAGTGCCTAAATCAGATTAAGTTAGAAGAGACTCTCTTCCACTGACTCTTTTTCTGCTCATCACAAACTGCATTCATGATCACCATGCAGGTGGTCATTAATCCCCTCAATATTCACAAAACAGCGAGGAGCATAAATCAGGACCTCTTATACAGATAGGGTATGTTCACATACCACAAAAGAAATGTTGTAAGAGGAGTATCCAAAGAACTAGTAAGGAAACAGTGAATCCACAAGCTCACATGAGCATGGGCACATACTAGTACAGACCTCCATCACTCAAATGTTAAGAGGCAATTAGTCACATTGGACAACAAAATATTGTGCCACTTCATTCATAGCCTGTCTTCCTCTTTACATTTAAGCTTAGCATTCAAACAGCATTTTTCCAAGGGGAAATCCCTCCACACAGCTTAAAGTGAAACGAGCTATGTTTTCGGAGTCACTGGAATAAATCTGAAGGTTTAAGAGTACTGTTAATACTCCTTCCTAAATATAAAAGCATTCAAAACTCAAACCTTCAGTACTTCAAAGAACCTGCTACTGAACAGACCTGTGGTTTCCAGCCTTTGCTGGTCTGTACGTAAGAACACAGAACAAGTGAGTCACGCTTTGAGCCTCCCCCACCTTGAACAACATTGTGACCATCCATAAGATGCTGAAGATAACAGGGCTAATTAATATTTTGTATATAAACCCATTTATAACAGAAGTTTATAACTGTGGCAGCCAACAAAACAACAGTTACTTCTGTAGGAAGCTTGTTCTCACCTGTGCCCAGAGATACAGCTGCTCTAGTAGTGTTTTATCTAGGTCAGAGGTACCTATGGCAACAATCTTTCTGTTTTGAACTAGATTTTCAAGTTCTTGCCAATAAGGTTGCAAATACTCCAAGGAAAGGCTAGTTCCATCTTCAACGGGAGGTGGGGCAATAATGACTGAGTCTAACTGAGCAACTCCGAGGGCAGAACACGCTGAGGAAAAAGAACAGAGACACTGCAAAAATCTTTTGTGAGATACGAACATAAGCAGCACGACTCTTCAAATTCAGCAAAACCCACACCTCCTGCTTCACTCTGCGAGCTTCCCATTCACCGTTTGAAACTCTGAGCGTATCAGCAGTCAAGGATAGTAACACAATGCTTTTAGCAGAGAATCAAACATACAGCTGAAGGCCAAGTTTCAATTGTAGGTCTTGGGGGGGACAGACGACCCACAAAAACCCCACGACCAAACAAAGCGTGAAGCTTTTTTCTCCTTTTCAATGTTAAAGCTGTATTTTTCTGTGAAGACAGTGGTGACGTACAATTCTTGCATTCCTTCACTCTCAATTTCTTCCAAAATTTGTAACTTTCACTCTGAACTATAACTCAAGTGCAGGGCACGGACTAGGAGAACTATTTGATATATGTGAGGAGTTAGACTAAAAGCACACCGAATATGGAGATTTAAATTGCCAGAGAGAAGTGGCAAGTCTTGGAGTATCACTGAGCTTTAGGGAAGATGCAGGTCATGAGGCCTCTTCTGCACAGCAAAAAGAATAAAACCAAGTAGCTAAATAAATTATTTCCTTCTGGAGGAGGATTCTATCAATGTATTTTTAACAAATGGTACTACAACTTACAATAAAGAGGCTATTAACTGGGGTATCAACAGAAAAGAATGATATCTGACCCTTTGTTCTTTGGTAACCCCTTATGCCCAACAATCTTCCAAAGTGGTAAAGTTCAGTGCTGCTTGCAATTACTGCTACGTTAGGCTAACAAAACTTTATGTATCAGTACAGTCATTGTACTGTATTTTCAATAAAACTTAACTATTTCATCAGCTGCTTGCAGCATTGTTTTATTTCCTAAATAATCTCTGAAATACTGCACAGCTAGTAGCAAAGTTCATCATGTCAAAAACAACTGGCAACTAACAACAACTGGTACGAATTATTGTATCACTGTTACTAAAACATCACATGCTATTCACTTTTTAACAAGTTTTGTGTGAAAGAATGAAAACTTGCTCCTGCTTGGAGCAAGGAATCAGATTTGAGTTTGTGCACCCGAGGTTAGAGCGATCCACATTTAGTAAGTTTAGCGATTGAACTAACGTGTAAATAGACTCGATTGCCTAAGTCTCTCTTAATAGGAAAACAGGAGATACTTGTGACAGTCACTAAATACACCTCTTAGATGGAAAAGGTTCTAATTTTATTTCTAAATACTGAATAAAAAAGAAACCCTAGCAGAAGTTTGAGTTTCACACTTACCCAGGTCAACTGCATCTCTGATCGATGAAGAGTTTGATCCAACGATGAAAAGTTTTGCTATTTTCAAAGAAACTGGAATCAATAACTAAACAAGCCAGCTATTATTAAATATTTACTTTTGCTACGTACACTACTTATGAATTCTTGGGTAAAGGGTTCTTAGAATATACACCAATTACTTCAAAAATTGGGAAAAAACCAACCTTCTGAAAGGTGACTGCCCAATAAAGACACTGTTCTCTTAAATTTCAAAGTTGTTGTGCAGTCTCAGAACAAGAAATCATCCAGAGATGATCTATGCCCAATAAAGACACTGTTCTCTTAAATTTCAAAGTTGTTGTGCAGTCTCAGAACAAGAAATCATCCAGTTAGATGATCTAACAAGCTGTAAAGCTAGGACGTAAGCATCAACACACTAAGCAATAACCGTAACAACCTGTATAAAAACCCCAAATGTAATAGTACAAACAGACCTCTTCACAACTTACTGAGACCCAAAATGTACTAGTGTTAGTTTGGACTGCCTCCTTCAAGTTCATCATATTCAACCTGGAAAAATTATGCAAATAAATGTGCTTCCAATGCTATTTCTTAATTGCAGTATTATCTGTAATATTTTGCTTCAGAAAAGTCAAAGATTCACAAAATACATTTAAAATGTCCTGAGGGGATGTAAGTTAAACTCAAAAAATGCCGAGCTGCTTTAAAACCTGAAACACGAATTCAAGTCTTTCTTAGCCCACTTCTAAATTATCCAAAGTACGACAGTGTGCACTGATGTCATTTGACTTTGCAATTACAAAACACGGTGGAAAGAATATACATATACGAACATCCTATTAATGACTGCATATGAAACCTTTTTATGCCACCGGATTTTTGACTACGTTCTTACCTGATACTTTCAACTCATCCCTTTCTTCAGGATTTATTTTTTCTATAGCTTGAGCTACAGTACATTCCAGAACCTCCAGTATTTCCTGTAGTAAGTACATGAGACTTAGGAACAACTCGGCAAGAGGAGACAGTAAGTTCCTGAAGAATGTTTTTAAGTAATTAAAAAAAAAGCCTTACAGCAGTCAGAAACAAAAATAGTATAGAAATGCAACGACCGAAAGAAAGTAACGCAATGCTTCTTGATCTCTGAGGGGAGGTCAGGAAAATGAAGCTATATGAAAGGCCTTATATGCCCCTAATATAAAAAATACAAATTACCAGTAAGAATTATTGGACTAAGATTTAGCGGTGTTCTGATGTGAACAGATCGCTGTGCCAATTCAAACTGCCTTGCTTTAAAAAAAGCCTCATGACCAGCTGAGAAAAACCATTATCAGAATTAGGGGGTTTGGGTGTCGGGTGGGAACATCTTTGCATAAAAGTATTTTGTAATTTCAGTGAAGCCTATGAAAAGCCTACAGTGAAAATGCTGTAAAATACAAATTTAAACCAATAATTTTGAAACTAAAAGTTAGGAAAGTGTCAGAGATTTCACGCTCTCACCTCATTTAAGACTAGGCTGACATCTCACGTCAGCTGGCACAAGGTGATTTTTTTAAGTCTTTACCTACGTGAGATTTTGTATTATACACACACACACCTCCCTGCCCCCAACCAAGAACTCTGGTAATTTTTGCTGCCCTACTGCAAAACCCTCAAGTGAGTCTTTGAGTTATTCCATGCAGTCAGCATTTTAAACAAACGTTAACTTTTTTTTTTAAATTACTGGAAACCAATATAATTCATAAAAGAATTTTGAATTAAGTAGTTAACAGTTTGATAGTAACACCTAGCTTACACTAAATAATTAACTTCAAATGGATCACTACATCTTACAGAGACAAATGTTTATTTACGTTCTCTTCTAGAGCAATCATTAGATCCTCCACAAATCATTCAGCAATAACTGCCTCACCACACTCCAGTGTGGAACGCAGCAATGTGCAGCTGATGACACCATTACACAAGAACTGGTAACGCAACCCAAAGAAACAGTCAGGGGAGTTTTTTAGTGGGCTTTTTTGGGGGTTTTTTGTTTTTTTTTTCCTAATGAAACCTGCTAATATTTCACAGAGAAAATAATTTATTTAGTGGGAACCTATTACTGCTTTGCTGAATTTCAGAAGCAATAGTGAAAGAGGAGCCAGCAAATACACCAAGATCTTGATGTCAGATGCCCGTGACTATGGTTTTAAGAATTACGTGGAAGTCTTTAGCTCTTAAGGGAAAAACTGCCACTTCTGCATCTTCAGAAATATTTCTGAGACAACCAAGGCTACGCTTCAGAGTTCCCCTCCAAATGGAATGATCTTCAGCTATCTAGTTTATCATAGTTTAGGTAATTCTCCATTGAGTTTTTACAAGCATGCTAGCAAACTGCTAAGGTACACAATTTTTTTTTTTTTTGGTGATTGCTCCAACAATTAACTTGAAATCTTACAGACCAGGACTTTTATTTTGCTAAGAATTGTCTTATTTGCCATCAACAGGATTCTTTACTTTGGTATTTCTTAACCTCTCCAAATTTGGTAAATATTAAAAAAAAAAAAAAAAAAAGATGGGTTGAGAAATACTCTTTTAAGATACCTGGAGCTGCCGATACTTTTACAGAAATTTAGTAGACTCATTTATATTTTAAGAGGTGTAACCAACTACATATTTCTCTGTTTTCACGTGTAACATGGATAACACGCATAACATCTCTCCTACCTGATTTAGATCTTGTCCAATCTTTGAGCTCCATTCAGTCAGCGTTTTCTGAATGCAGTCCCGCACCTACAAAATATTTTTTCGTATTAAAGTGTAGAAATGTTATAGTTGCACAGAAATACAATGATTCATAGGCGTGTAGGACAGACAGAGCAGGTGAACTAATGACACCATTCCCTCAACCACAGAAGATTCCTTCTTCATAGCTTCCATCTGAAACTTGTTCTAACTAGTTTACTTACATATTTTCCTCTCCCCTTTCACAAAGAGTTTTAGCAGTAATACAAGTACTGTACTTCCTTTATTTCTCAGACCAATGCCATCTTTAAAGGAAAGAACAATGCTAAGAGAGCAAGAACTAGGGGGTGGGGTGGTTTTTTCTTTTTTTGCGTAGAGATTCTTAAGCTACAATGTAGTCAGATAATTGCATACGTGCTGTGACATCGTTAGAAATGAGACTTTACAATCAATCACTACATACTCATTATATTAATTACTTCTCTTTCCGAGAGGCACCTGACACTTTTCATTTACTGCCTACCTATTCCAGTGTGCCGAACCACTAACGCTTTTAAGTCCTTCATTACTGAAGGGGGAACCTTCAGATCCTACCCCGCACTTGCATTTTTCCTGCATCCACAGATGCAAAATAAACTTGACTAGGGTTCTGATCATCGATTTTCTTGAACATAGTAAGGCATAACTATTAAGTCTAAATCAGCTAATTAACCGCGTATTGTACCAGTGCTTCAGCTGTACCAATGCTCTAGCTTCCCTCTGATGCATCTCAGGAGCTGTTACGCTGCAGGCTAAGTAAATGTACTGTCCAGACGGGTACCTGCCACAGGTAGGAGCACTTTCATAAGCTGCTGCTTTACTTCACTTTTAGCAATATATTTTATATCTATGTGGATACCTACTTTTTGTACCGTTAAATAGCAATTTCCTGTGACACCTAACATTAATTCAGAGAGCCCATAATACCATGCACAAACTAGAAGCCAACCTCCCCCCATAAAACTGGATATCACAAAGTTTAAGACATAATACAGTAATAATACTTTGTGAAGACAAATTCTATACATTCTTTCCCAGTCATTTAAAACGGCATGAAAAAAATAACTCAGTCAAAAGGTAAGAACTGACTCCCCCCCACTAAATAGCTATCCACAATGCTGGAACTCTTTAGCCTATTTTGATGCAACTTATAATGTTATCTTTTCCTTTCTGAGGGAAAGTGAGATGGTGCTAAATATGTATATTCTACATATTGCTACTTTACAACCCTCACACTTGATACTTCTACTGCAGTTAGTATGCACAAGCCTCTGTCTCCAAAGCACACCATTCCCCTGCCCCAACACGTGTGAAAAGCACAGCATGCTTGACTGCTTTGACCAGCTTTTCCAAATACAGTTGCATCCAGAAGCTGCTAACCTTAGGGTTCACAGTTTGCAAAATTTTAGCTTACATTCTGCCACTGAGAACTATACGCGCACTAACTACACCAAATAGAAGAGTTAAAAGCCGATTTAGTTCTGATAATTAATGCCAATTATTTGCTTTTGAAATGCCAGCAACTCTGGAAAGCAGGCAGTCTTATGTTTAAATGCAGATTTCCCTGTAAAAAAAAAAAGAATTTCAATACCTTAACTGATTAGTTCCGCACACTGGCCACTCTTTATTTAACAACCCTCCAGAAACTTCTCACACAAGGGTGCCCATTAGGATACAGCCATCTCTCTGCTACAGAATCCAGCCCTAGTTCGCACAGATCACAGGATGTTGTAATAAGCAACCAGGCCAAATAAAAAGGTTATTGCCACACGACAACTAAATAAAAGTATGATGAAGTCTTCCTTCTTGTTACATCATCCTCCCAGTCACCTTTCTTACCATTTGTGCATGATTAATACGCAATCAATCAACTTCTAGATCATCAACAGTGCCACTACGTAACAACAGCCAGCCAAAACCATAGTTCTTCTGATTATTAAATGACCATTTTCAGATTACTGCGTCGCGACAAGACAGCAAATACAGCGGTTCGCAAGTTCATGGCCACAGGATCTCCAGACACTTTATCAGGATTATTGTTAAGTGTTGACACATACCGCTAAAGGTAATGGTTTTAAAGCGGCGATTAAAAAGTTCTTTCAACTTTTTAACAAAGAATGACAGCTATACTCTTTAAAGAAGACAGCAATGACTAATCTTCCTGAGACCTGTCAGCACCAAGAAATTAAATTAATTTCAGGTTAGAAAAGAGAGTTTTCATCGTTCGTAACGCAAGCTCGTATCTGTTCCTATCTTTCTCTCGCTAAAGAAGTAGCGGGGATCTCCTTTGCCATTACAGACAGTACTTAAACTTGTACGCGTTTTAACTCTCCGTTCTCCGAGAGCAGAAACACGGTCCGGTTTCTCCCGAAAGCGACTCAAACACAGCAAAGTGCTTCCGGAGGGGGCTCGGGGGGGGGATCTCGGGGGGGCTGCTGCTAGCGTGGCTTGCTCTGGCCATCGCTTCGACCCCCGGCACCGCCCGCCCCCCCGGTTTCCGCCGC